TATTTTCATTTAGGTGTCTGGATGACATTCAAACAAACACAAGAGGCATTTAGAGTGCAGCGCTTTTACATACACTTTTCCAGCCTGAGCTTTAATATACCCACGTGTTCCATGGGGGTGGGGGTGGGGCGTCACCTGATGAGAGACAATCCTCAAACACCTAAGTGAAAGGTTGAGCGTGGGCATCATGCCAACATGCTGGCTTCTTGTATCGCTGCACACTCACTTATCGACAGATTGAGTTTCTAACCCTTCCAGCCTTGCTCACGTCAATCAAAGACTTTCCGCAAATTCCTTGGTGAAAATCTGAGCAAGATTTAATTCCAGTAGCTGGTCAGGGCATGACTTTTCTCTTCCTCTCATTGTCTGGCAGAGCTCTTACCTGACAACCAAGCTCATTTTTACCGGAATAACAACAGACGTGATGTTAAAGTGCAGGGTTGTGGAAGAAAATCCTGAGCCTCATTCTTTCCAATATATCTTTTATCTGTCAAGCAGATGTCTGGAATGGTTCTGAAGCTGCAGTTGGGCACCATTAAGAGATCTAAAAGGTTTTTTTGGGGGGCTTGAAATCAGTAAAGCTTTACCGTCCACACTATATTGAAGCAGCTGGTGGCTTTAAGATTTAGTTGTTTTGGATGTATTTTGTTTTGTTAAAGATGGAGAGGGGAAGAAAAGAGAGGAAGACTGGATAATATGCAGCTGCTGATGGCAGTCACAGACTGCACTGGGTGACCTCATATAAAGAACATTTCCAAAACACTGAGAAAGAGCAAGTGAGAAAGAAAAAGGCCTGTTGTAACGTGGCAGCTAACACAGCTCAGTAGGACTTAGCTACCACTTTTCTCATCCAAGATTCCTCTGCATTCTCTTCAGAATTCGGAGGGACAGGGAGAGTGAAAGAAAGTCAAAGAGAGGCAGAGAGAGAAAACATGGCTAAAATTGATTTGAAGAGCTGAAAGCAAAAGAATGTCTAAAACATCTGTGCTTTTACACTCCCTGATGACCTTTTAAAGAGGTTAACCGTTACTTCCTGTCCTGGCTTTAATTTGATAAAACACTTGCAAGCTGCACTTACAGTCCATATCTATCTATCTATCTATCTATCTATCTATCTATCTATCTATCTATCTATCTATCTATCTATCTCTACATTTGAAGTGAAGAACAAATCAGGAATCCAAATTTGGTCATATTTTGATTACATGTGTACATGTCATGTGAACAACTTATTTTGATCAGGGGAGACCAGGGGTGAGTAACACGGGTGAGTTATAACGCCTTCAGTGCAATAGCTACAGTAGTTAACAAGGATGACCACCATCAGTCGAAGTAGAAATTGTACAGTAGGCCAAAGTTTTAGTCTCAATTATATATATATATATATATATATATATATATATATATATATATATATATATATATATACCACACTGTTAAAGATTTTGTTAAAGAATGTATTCCCCAAAGTTGAACAGACATAGATGTCATGCCTGCAAAAACCTTTTTAAAAACTGATTCATATTGCTACAAAAATTACGGTTCCATAAAAACTAAAAGTAAAGCAAGTAGCCTACACATTTTGAAGTTTGTGCACCTGCCTGTGCCTCAAGTCTCACCCTCTCGTTAGGCTAAGCTTTTAGTGCTTGGAATGTTTATTACAGGTTTCACGCACAATATGACCAACTAAACCGAACTCAGACCTGGAGATTCATCAACCGCAGGTGACTAATTCACGAGAGCTATGTGTCATAAGTGCTTGTGACATAATAATCTTTACCGTACAAGATGACAACAGCATACAATATAGCCCTGTCAATTATAACAGACAAAAATATACTTCACGAATTCTACTTTTAAAATAATTCTAAACATTTCTAATAATAGCCTACACAAAGCTTGATTTTGTGAATTAATATTTACATAGACAGAAGCAGATTGACCTACCCGACAGCAGTGGGCTCTGGGTGCAGAGTGTGACCAGGAGACCGAGAAGAGCTCGTGCCCGTGCAGGAGACATTGCAGACAGTGCTTCAGTATTAATGCGATCCGCTACACTGAGGGAAGAAAGGCTATGGATGCTCGGATGCTTCGATTCCCGTTCTCACCGTCAGTCTATGTGCTCCTTCCCAGACGTTGTCTCCCTCTTCCGGGGACGAACGGGACTTGGGGCTACCAAAATATTTCCAGGGCAGTCTTTTGAAACTTATTGCCTCTGATGTAGAACTCGTTTATCGTGCTGTTTATTTTTTATAACGTGTTTAAGCCTCATTCTGTGCACGTGGTAATACTTTAATGCAATATTAAATTGTAGCTATTGTATTTTATTCATAATTTTCTAACTGAATATCAATTAAAAGACCTCAAAATTTTAGAGCTTAAATTCAGTTCTAAAAGTATAGATATTAAAAAATACATACATTCTCCACAAATTTTAAACAAAATGATTGCGCATGTGCGCAATTTGGAGAAAGCAGACGATACGAAACGAAGACTTTTTACAGGTTAGTCGTTCACAGTTCGAGTAGGCGGCTTATTTAATGCACGTTTGTAATTATCCCTAAACTGTGTAAATTAATAGCCTACAAAGCTACAGTTGTTTTACCATACTATATCGATTATAATCAAATCAAGGCTAGGCTACTTTGATTCCCATCCCATTCCCTCATTCCCATTATATAGCCTATCTACTGGATATACTTTTTTTATTGTAGGTGAAAAGCTTGTTGTATGTTATATAGACCTATATAAATGAAGCAAGAGAACCTGCTGATTCGAATGATAACATCATCCATTGGCGTGATCACAAATCAAATACATGCAATTTTACTTTTTTACTTAAAAAATTGTCTGTAAATCATTATATTTTCACACAGATCTCATCTCAGAAGGGAGGTGCTGGTCATGTGTGATAGTGATTTCAGTTCTGTTCCCCCCCCCCCCCCCCCCCCCCCCCCCCCCCCAACTATCTAAACTACATAAATTATTTTATCTAACTACTAATAACCAAATATTAACTAATACATAAAATATATTAAATTATATATATTTATACATGAGGCACAATAAAAGCAACAGATTTGTCTTTATTTATTTATTTAACACAATAAATGTAATAGCGGGCCCTGGAGACAGACTTGTTTGTGGTGGACTTCATCAGGCTGCTACGTCTGTGTGACGCAGAAATGCCATAACCTCTAATTGACAAGAAGGAAAGAGAAGGGAATAATATTAAAAAACAACGACAGGTATTTTCGCTTGAACATAAATTCTTTTAAGAAACTACCCAGCAGCTAAATGTAAACTGAACAGAAAAACCCCTAGAGACTGCAGAGCTCCAAGCACAAATAACCCTGAGTAATGCATCAGCAAATAAGACTCCATCACTGGACAGCCATAGTCTCTGACTGTCTCAGGGGACCGTGAGAAAGAGGCAATTAGGTCCATGTGAGATGGGGATTAGAGGGATAGTTCGCCCAAAAATGAAAATTCTGTCATCAATTAATCACCCTCATGTTGTTCCAAACCCGTAAGACTTTCGTTCATCTTTGGAACCCAGATGAAAATATTTTGAATGAAATCTGAGCGATTTCTGTCCCTCCATTGACAGCTATGCAACTACCACTTTGACGCTTTAAAAAGTTCATAAAGAGATCATAAAACTAATCTATATGAATTTAGTGGTTTAGTCCAGTAATGTTCTGAAGAGACACGATGACTTTATATGACGAAAAGATTCAATTTAGGCTTTTATTCACATATAAACATTGATCAACATAATCCGAAGCTCAACCAAACCTGCTTGACGCGAGAATGAATCTCATTTGTTCTTGCTGAAGCTCAAACGTGCTGTGTAACACGAGAATGAACCTCATTGGTTCTTGCAGAAGCTCAAACGTGCTGGGTAACACGAGAATGAACCTCATTGGTTCTTGCAGAAGCTCAAACATGCTGTGTAACACGAGAATGAACCTCATTGGTTCTTGCAGAAGCTCAAACGTGCTGGGTAACACGAGAATGAACCTCATTGGTTCTTGCGAAAGCTCAAATGTGCTGTGTAACACGAGAATGAACCTCATTGGTTCTTGCAGAAGCTCAAACTGCTGTGTAACACGAGAATGAACCTCATTGGTTCTTGCGAAAACTCCAATGTGCTGTGTAACACGAGAATGAACCTCATTGGTTCTTGCACGTCAAGCGATCATGCTTTAGCTTCTTTTTATCATAACTGATGTGTTATGACAGTTGATGAATGTTTATATGTGAAAAAAGCCTAAATTCAGTCTGTTTGATCGTGTCTCTTCAGAATTATTTGGACTAAACTACTCAATTCATATGGATAAGTTTTACGATCTCTTTATGAACTTTTTGAAGTGTCAAAGTGTTAGTAGCTGCCAATAGAGAGTGACAGAAAGCGAAAGATCTTCATTTGTGTTCTGAAGATGAACAAAAGTCTTGCGGGTTTGGAACGACATGAGGGTGAGTAATTAATGACAGAATTTTCATTTTTGGGTGAACTAACCCTTTAAGTAAGAGAAAAGGAATAGAAGAGCTTTTAGTTTTTAGAACTAAAAATTTGAGTAAACTTTTCAAATTTTTAGAGAACATTAAAGTAAGCATAAAATCAAAACTTATTTTCTTTATGCATGTTACTTACAATAAATAGGCCTATATATTTTTTAAAAAGCCTATCACATTCAGGTCTGCCTCCATTCCAGTATACAGCGCTCACTTTTCACAATCCAATTAACAGACGATGAATAAAATTTCTTCTTTTTTTCTTGTTAGATGAGAAGTTTCAGTCATAAATATAATATATCACAGTATGGAAGTCGTTCACAGCTTCTGTTTCATGCCGACTTTAAATGTTTCATAGGAACATACAATATCCATGTTTCACGTTATTGATTCTCACTTAATATAGTTATTTTAATTAAATAGCTGAGGTGACTCAGTAAAGTACAGTTCTTACATTGCCTCAGGGTTCTTCTCAGCCTCTTTTACTGCATGACAAAGTAATTGACAGGTTGCACAATGCCAGTCTTATCTTTGTAATTTTCCCTGTGCTTCTGTGACAACTGGGGAAAAGAGAATGACTAATCAGTAAGATAAAAGATATCAGTTGAGAACATGATCCACATTAACTTAAGGCTTATTTTTACCATGTTAAAATCCTTGATCTCCTTCTGTCTTTTGAAATCAATGTTGTACTGGGCCCAGTAGGGTAAGATACTGTTTTGTGTATGGGAGCTCAGGGGCACACCACTCTTATTGGAGAGGCTTTTGCTGGAGGCCATTTCGGCATCGGATATTTTGGATGTACTTTAGGGTTGTATTGCCAAAAGTCTCCTCATACAGAAATTGTGTAGGAATGTGTCCACAGTACATTTAAATGATTCAGGAGTTGCACAATTAGGCCTAGCTGTTGTTGAAAATATTATTTTATGATTTGCCTGAAATTAACCACAGAAGGTCAAAAATGCCAAAGAAACAGACCTTAGGTGACAACCATACTTGTTAATTCAAATTTATTTCAATGAATTGATTCAGTTGGAATATATAACATTAAGGGACAGCACACATTTATTTTCTATGTTTGAAAAGAAAAATAGGCTACTCTAATCAAGGTCCCCGAATGTCAAAACTTAAGTTACCCCTGAAAATCAATTCAAGGGGTACAGTTATTCTTTTAAAAAATAAATTTCTGACACTGCCCTGATCAAAATAAGAAATAAGCTATGTTTTTACCCCGGCATCGAGACGATGGGATGTAGGCTGTGGTGTTATGCGTTATGAGAGTCCCATTTCCTCTAAAAGTCATGGCTGAATAGACAAGGATTCTACAATATCATCCGATCTTAAGCTGCTGAAGTTCAGCAATGCGTCTGACCTGCACCACAGATAAGACAACAAATGGTTGCCTGGCAACCATTTTTTCAGTATAGCATTATGCGGTTTTTATTTAGTCAGTTTTGCTCTAATTGATAAAGAATATATAAAATGTATGTTCCTGTTGCCTCAAATAATAAAAAGCTTGTGAAACGTAGTGGGTTTTTCTGCAAGAATCCGCCCCCCTCCTGAGAGTCCGCGGTGAGTGCCTGCCCCCTGCTGGCGTCATCCGTCATCGCATTGTGCGGAGCAGTGGCGAGGCGCATCAAAGCAGTGTGAAAGAGTCTCGCAGCGGATCTGACGAGTGTACGTACATGTGTGCGCATTGTAAAGCGAGAGAAATGAAAGCTCTTTAATTATTAATTACTCTTTTTATGTTATTGCGCACAGAGGATGCAGCCTGTAGCCTACAACGAGAGGATTTTTTCTCGTTTGATGCAGCGAATAAAAGCAGTTAAGATAATGTTATAAGTTATGCAGCGTTGGTCAAGATAGATCCGCGGTCTTTGTGATGAAACGTTTTTATTCTGTTGTATGCTTTTGATTTTTTCTTCTTCATTCCAAGTTGAAATGGCTTTAGTGGTGTACCTAAAGACTGTCACGGAGCTTCGTGGGAAGGGGGACCGAATCGCAAAAGTGACTTTCAGAGGTATAGAGCAGTACTTTTCATTTCCAGTGAATGGGTTTGAATGTGTGCAGTTGTACACTAAACATCTTGGGTAACACTATACATTGTGTTGGTTTTATATTGTTTTATGTTCTATTTAATCATAATGTCTATGCCATGGTGTGTAACTTGAAATTGTGTGTCTGCTAAAAAGTTGTAGAAATCCATGCTATTCTTAAGCGCATATGTGTTTATCAAAGAACAAGGGCTTTTTAGATGATGAAAACTCCCCTGTTTATAGATAAATCGTAACAATTTCGACTCATACACAAGCTTGAGCTGCTTTACTTGGTTTCATTGTGTAACTATCTAGATTCTCGTATCAAGGCTTATTCACTGCAGTAGCCTATTGTTTGATTGTGGTCCCTAGAAGTTTAAGCTTAGAATAAGCTGATAAGAGTGAACCAAATTTGTTTAAACTCTTGGTTGTTTTGAGACTTGCCTTGACAATCCATTAGTTAAATGTCATGCAGTGTGGCTCTTTTCTTTTTTCTTTTTTTACCAGATGTATTTTTATTTCAGCACCCTGGACAGTTGCTAAGTGTTGATCTGATGCAATCATTCTCTATTTCATAAAATGTGTGTGTAAGAGAGAAAGGGTGGGAGAAAAATACAGCCAGAGATGTGTGTTGATACTATGTTTCTGGCATATAAAAAGATAAATTACAACATCACCTTAGTTAAATGAAGCAGAAATGAGCTAGGACAAATAACATTTTATTGGTAATAAAAACGCGGATGCATGTTTTAAAAGAGTAAACATCTTCAGGTATTAATTGGAATCTTTTTGTCATCTTTACAGAATGACATTCTGTTTGAAATGACAGTGAGGGTGATGGTCTGCTTCAACTTACTCCTAGGGATTTGATTGAGACACTGCAAGTGATTGAAGCCATTTTGATGCTTTGTCCTGTTGCCACTGTTTTCCCCCTTTCTCTGAGGGCAATGACTATTAGGCTCTCCTCCTGCCACCCTTTCCTTCCCTCCCTTTCGGTCTTCCTCTGATCTCCACCAGGCTCAGTGTGCCTGATCTAGGCTGTCTGGAGCGGAAGGGCTCCACTGAGCTGTGTCCTGTTGCATAACTTAGATTGAGTAGGCTACCTCTGAGTGGATCTGAGAACAATGAAAATTCACAATGTGATTCTATCATAGTATCGGAAATAGAAAATGATTCAATAAAATATTGACTTTCAGACATTGAGATTTGATTGCTTTAGAATGTGAAATGTCCTTGTAAAGACTATGCATTATTGAACTTACTGTTTAAGATTGTTCTGTCGGTTTAAAGGTTGCCCATGCATTTTTATTGAAGGTAGGGTAGGCAAACAGAAATGGTTTAAATATTAAAAAAATGTAAATATATCTTCCAATCATTGCATTATAGTTCCAAATGCAATAATAGGATGCCCTACCTGCCTGTCAACACGTATTTCCATACCTCCGCACACCCTGCTTGCACAGGCATCACACGTCATCAGCTTGTTCCGTAAGGCTATGCAGAGTTAGATAGTCACCGAGCGCCACAGACAAACAGTAGCTGCCTTTTACAGTTTCTCCTAGGACTGAACGATTTTGGAAAATAATCTGATTGCGATTTTTTTGAACCAATATTGCGATTTAATTTCGCGATTATTTTTTAAGCTCTTTATCTTCAATATTATTCAACAAAGACAAGCAATTTCAGCAAGAAAATCTCATTTAATCATATCGCGATATTATCGCAAATGCAATTAATCGTTCAGCCCTATCCTAAACTGCATTCACGCCATGTCGTAATTACTGTAATTAAGAGCGGGCAACCCGTGATGTTGTACCCGGAGCTGTTCACGTCCTCGAAATTGTTTACTGTGCGCGTTCATGTGTTTTGGAGGAGGCGTTCATGTTTTCTAAGCCTCTCAGAAATTGCCTACACTACCTTTAAGTTTTTGCTCAATTTATGCATATTACATAACCATTTTCCCCTATCTCCTCGTTATAGTTATCAAGCAAAAGCGTCTTTAAATCTAGGTTGTAAGCCTGGGGATACTTTAGTTTTTGCCCTCAGTTCTATCAATGAGTATAATAATACTGTGCAATTCATAAAATCTTCCCCAATTATGCTTTTTTTGTCACGTTACGCTAAATAGAACCCAAGCGCAGACAGTAACTTTCACAAAACATGGTTTATTTACAACCAGAAACAAAGACCCACGATGGGGCAAACAAACAATAACTAGACTAGACAATAAAACGGAACGGGAACATTCACAGACAGATCACAATACTCACAGAACCAAATGTTAACAAGACGAACAAGCACTGAGGAACAAACACCGGGAGCTTACATAGAACACATAATTACAAAGGTACAGGTGACACTGATAAACATCAATACTAACGAGGGAACAAGGGGCGTGGTAAGGACACATGATCACAAATCACAGGCGACGCTAATACAACATTAACTAACAAGGAAACGAGGTAAAACATAAGACAATGCAAACAGAGACATTACTTTTGGCCACTACTGTATATGTAAAATAATTTCTGTTGTGTTAGTCTCTTCTGAGCCACATTGACCTTTAACCTTGTTTATATCCCTGCAGGTCTCTCCTTCTTCTCTCGGGTGCTGGAAAACTGTGAGGATGAGGCTCGATTTGAGCAGGTCAGTCCCCCCCCCTGCCCCCCCCCCCCCCTCCTATATCACCAGTTTCTACTACTAACTCATGCATCTTCTGATACATATATATAGGCTACAAATTTGATTTCTCACTCCCCAAGAGAGGATGTGGTGAAGGAATCACACGAGGAATCGAACCGCTCAACCGTGGCCAGACGCATCACATTTAGCCCCACTGATTCCTATTTTGCACAGACCCTCAGGCAAGCAACATAGCAGTATGAAGTGGCAATACACCAGCTACATTACCATTACGCTAATACAGTTCTTTGAATGATTGCTCTCTTTACTCCGAAATATCCCTGCTACACGTCTCATCCTTACATTTGATAGGTAAATTAGCAGGTAAAGCTTTGTTGCCTTCTCGTTCTTAAATATGACTTGAGGATGTGCACCTCATGCATAATGGTGGTGGTTGAGGAGATTCCCCCTTCAATGTAAAGCGCTTTGAGTACCCAGAAAAGCGCTATATAAATGTAACGAATTATCAATTATTATTATAATGTCCTCATGAATGGTTTCAGATTCTGCAGCAATAAAGAGGTTTTTATTTGCATTGATAATAATTTGCAGAAGTTATTTTTGAAGTGCCCCTATAATGCTATTTTAAATCTTCCAAATTTAGTTTTTGAGGTCTCCTACAATAGGTTTGCATGCATCCAAATGCAAGTTCAAAAAACACTTTTCTCATAATATACATGATGGCACATCCCCTCTTTTCTCACTGTGTCTGAAATGGCTCGATAACTGATTCAGTCTCTCTAAACCATTGCTTCTCAAAGTGTGGGGCACTGCAGGGGTGGGGAGGGGATCAGCTGAAAAAAATACAAACAGAAAACAGCCGTTGCAACGGAGTTCAAGTGTGTGAATAGCATTTGGCGCTCTGCCTTTATAAAGCGGCACCAAAGCCAATTCCACTGAATCGTTCTTCTTCCGACTGTTGACTTGTCACCATCTGAACAAGCCCAACATAAAAGTTGCTCTCCTAGAAAAGCAACTCTTCAGCGGACGGAAGAGTTTGGTTTATTTAAATGAAGTTAAGTTAAGTTAAGTTAAAATAAATTAAGTACTGATCTATTATTCTCTCTAACCATACATTTTTTCAATGTTTCGATGACTTTACAAAGTGAAACTATTGCAGGTGTTTTTCATTGCACGTTTTTCAGTTAAAAAAATCTTTCCGTTTTTATCATTTTTAGTGAAATTGTTTGGTAGCTAGAGGTGTGAGGTGGGGGTTGGGGGAACCAGATTTTTTTTTTTTTTTTTTTAAAGGGGGGCGTGACCAAAAAAGTTTGAGAACCACTGCTCTAAACCCCTCCTTCCGAGACCTTCCTCTGCTCTGATTGGTCAGATGGCTCAGTCTGTTGTGATTGGTCTACAATTTACAGCGTGTGTCGGAATTCAAAGTCCCATTCATGGAAAGTCTGTTCACTCTGTGGTCATATTTGCAACACCTCCGGCAGCTATTTCGGGCATACAAGACCAAGTCCTATCTTTTTAAATGAGGGAATCCTGAAATCTAAAAAACTGCTAGCCGAACTCACAATTAAACAACATATTTCAAATTAGCAACAGAATCTGACATGAATTGTCCCATGAATGTTGTTTCTTATGCTCAAATAGCATTTATAAAAGCTTATTTTTCAGGCTAGACCAGCCAATGTGCATGTGCAGTCCTAAGCGCGCGTCTCACAACACTGACTGTTTCTATTACAAA